TCATTTTACAAAAAGTTGTAGATAATAACGTATAGTTTATTTTAAAATGGAATGCCGCACTTTTTATTGCATATTCGAACTATAAGCAAAATTCTAGAAGCAAAATTCATTAAAAAAACCGTACAACTTGAAGTGCAGTTAAACAAAAATTTACATTTACACCAACAAACTGAAATTTTCGCACCATAACGAAAAAGGCTTTATTGAAACCAGTTTTCGATAAATTTTCACCACCAAAAATCGAATTTCACTCAAATACCGATTTCTGCTGATTTTTCAGAAATTTTAAAACTTGACGATAAATTAAAGAAAACCGTCTACTTCACTCAAAGTGCAGTAACACACAAATTCGCAACTCCCAAACCACTTACATAACAAACTGAAATTTTCGCCCCATAATCAAAAATGATATTTATCGAAATATCGAAAAGTGAACCACATTTCACTAAAATCTCGACTTCTGCTGATTTTTCAAAAAATTTTCAACTTGACGATAATTTACAAAAACAGTCCAACTTAAAGTGGGGGTAAACAAAAATTCGTAACTCCCAAACTACTTACATCAACAAACTGAACTTTTCGCACCATAAAGAAAAAGGCTTTATCGAAAAGCGCACTAAATTTCCCTAAAATTACAACATAAGGTGATTTTTCTGAAATGTTTAAACTTGACAAAAAAATTAAAAAACCGTCCAACTTAAAGTGAAGGCCAACAAAAATTCGTAACTCCCAAATCACTTACATCAACAAACTGAAATTTTCGCACCATAACGAAAAAGGCTTTATCGAAAAGTGAACCAAATTTCACTAAAATCCCAACTTCTGCTGATTTTTAAAAAATGTTTAAACTTGACAAAAATGTAAGTGGTTTGAATAGGTGCTTCTTTGCAGAGAGGTCTTACAAGTCCCTGGGCGAGCTTGGAATAGAACAATGGCCTGAAGATTGGCGAGAGACGCAGTTTATTCCAAAATTGGAAAAAAAAAATTTCCTGAAATTTCAAACTAGATGCAAAAACGGGGTGGCCAAAGTTCAGTCAATAACCCTGTACATCTACGCCAATCGAAATATCTAAAACCCTGTTCTGATCTTTACAAAGTGTTGTAGAGCAAGAATGGTGGAAAAGATGCATTGCCTGCAATTTTAATAAAGCGATTTACTAAAAGTATACAAGCTCCACGAATGCTAAAAGCAATGTTCGCTCTCAGATCAGCTCTCAACCATTCTCTTTGAACCGTAAACTACCCTTTTCAGTTCTTATCGTTCAATGAACTATTTATAAATAATGAGGTACTTACCTATGGCGTGTCCTTAAGCAGCTTACTTTCAGCAGGACGGAATGAATTCTGAAGGAGAGTCCTGTAAAAATAGAAAAAGTTTTATCTTCAAGATAACCAAACCAATCACAAAGTTTTCATTAAAGTGAGGTTTTTCTTTAATTCAAAATATGGAATTTTTCCCAATGATTTTTTTGCAGGATTTAAATGATTTTAACCCAATTTACGTTTTTTGCTAATAATTAATTGACACTTTGCATAGGTTTTTAATTAAAAATGACTTGAGAGAGTTTTGAATTGATCTAAATAAAAAAATAGATATATCACGTATAAATTCGTGTGAGTTAATGGATGAAATATACTTCAACATGTAATAAATGTATATTATAAAATAAGTTGCACTTTAACTTAACGTTTTAAAGCTCCGCCTTGGGAAGTAAAGAAATGCTATAAAGTGAATAAACCGTAAAATTATTTATTGCAATTTCTTCCAGGCCTAATGAAGACTTAGAATGCTTAAAAAATACAAATTCAAGAAATCAAAGATATTGTTAGTTGTGGTAAACCCTAATAAAAATACTGATCATGAAATGCACTGATAATTTAACTCACGCGTTGACAGATGACAAAATCACTAAAAAGATAAGAAATAGCGTTGAAGATCTAAATCGTTATCGTGAAGTAGCTCAGAAACTCAAAAAAAAATTTGAAATGTGTACTTAAAATGTACATTTTTTTGTGGAGCTAAAAATACGTTGGGCAAATGTTTTCAACTAGAACACCATACGACGCAATTGAGAAATTAGACAAGGCTGAAATTGAACTGAAAATGAAAAATTTTCCGCAATAAATCGAAAGCAGTCTAACAAAAAAAGAGGACAGGCGTTGTAAAATAACTGAGTTTTAACATAAAGCGTAATAAACAAACATACACATTAATTTACGAATCGTCAGAACAATTTTATGTAAAAATTTTTGAGGCATTTAACGTGATGCCAAATTAACGATTATGGAGATGGCGTAAGAAAATGTGGCACAGCATAGACGATTTAAAAAAACAGTTAGAAACAATTCAGAGCGAACACACAGAGAACAGTGACAAGAACTAAAACCCATATTACCATTGTGAAAATTACTGTAAAACACGTTTGATAACGTCGTCAATTAATCAATATTTAATTACTCCTTTCTCAAATAAACCGTATAACTATTTATTTTCTCAGAATGCAACTGTAACGGTTATTCAACTCGTTGTATGTTCGACCAGAAGCTGTATGATCAAACAGGACACGGTGGACACTGTTTGGACTGTTCGGCCAATCGAGATGGGCCAAATTGTGAAAGATGTCGTCCAAATTACTATATGGTAGAAGGTGGACAGTGTACGGCTTGCAATTGTGATGAAGTGGGCTCGGTATTTCATCAATGCAATTCCCAAGGAAAATGTCAATGTAAACCTGGAGTAACTGGCGAAAAATGCGACAGGTAAAAATGCTCAGCTACAATATTTGACCTGTTTGAAGACATTCTTATCAAGGGCATGACGGGAAAATGACGGTGTAACAACCTTAAGATTACATATTTTTTAGATTTAGTTTTTCACCTTGTTTTGAGACCTTCTTCTCGATTTTAAAACAGCTTGATTTTTCAGTTTCAAAGTCCATCTACAGACATGCTCAATATTAATCGAAAATTTATGACAGCTTGATATTCAATTCCCATTTCGTGACTTCTCAGTGAAAATGGGTTGAACAAACTTGTAAATTATTCCCAATTGTATTGAGACCAAAAGCAATTAACCAAAAGTATAATTCTCGTTCAGCTTCGATTAGTGTGGGTGACGAATTAACGGTTATTAGTGAGTTGATTATTTATTGAAACGGATTGTTCGATCTGGCGCCAGATCCGCCATTAGTGCCCATTAGTCGACCAATTTCAATACAACACCCAATAAGTGGGCGATTCCATAAAATGCCATGTTGTTTGCAATTGCCCAATTAGCCCGTATGTACCTTATGGCAAATGCAAATAAAATAAAGTCATGCAAGCTTGTTAACTAAAAAGAATACGTTTAATATTTAACAGAGAATGCCTTTAAATTACATAAAATATTTACTTAAATTATGCAGTTGCCATCTATTAAACCAACTACAATCAAATTCTATTTAAAAAATGTTAAATAATCATCTAGTAAAATGCGATAAAAATATTCCCTAACTTTTTACTGTGAGGATTTTCTTAGTCGGTGATCCAATTTCAATATTTTTTTAACGAATTATAGCTCGATTCTCGGATAAAATTTAAATTATCAGATTTGGAAAAAACTAAATAAATATATTGAACAGGGTGTTTAAATACTGTCATGTTTTCTTGGTCAAAGTCTTTCTGGGGTATCAGCGAAAAAAGTATACGATGTTCTAGTATCATGCCTTCGTTAATGACGACGTTAATTGTCTGTTTATTCTAAGCTATTCAGAGAGATCTATTTTTCCAAGAGTAGTCACGGTTTCCGCGTAAAATTTAGATAAACTTTTTTTTATTTGCAAAGCAATTTTATTTCAAAAAGGCTGTGCGAACACCATTTTATTACAAGTGTATGGCTCTGTTTATTTTGTCTCTCTCTCTGTGTTCTGTCAGTTAAATTTTTGTTTTCCCGAAGATATGTTTTCTTGTTTTCGCTATTCTTAAGAATATTGCTTTTTGTTTTTTTTGATGGAGTTAAATGCGTAATAAAAATTAAATAAATGTTGACAGCTTAAAGCTTGTAAGAAAATTTTGTTTGCCCAACTTTTTTTTGGAATTGAAAATGAAAGTTTAAATAAATTTCCCGCAAAAAATGTGACGGCGCAGAAAAAAAGAATATATCCACAACAATTAAAGATCCAAATTATTCAGAAGAAATGAGGCTCTAACACCATATGTTTTTTTTCTATTTGAGATTCCCGATATTGATCGCAGACTGATTTAAACTATGACTAAAAAATCATGTCGCTATTTCAACACCCTGTGGAATATGTCTATTACATGTTTTTCGTTTATTTTCTAACTAAATTTTTTTCCACGAATAGACCTTTAGAAACCATTAGAAAAGGTTTATCAAAAACTGTTTAAAAGCTCCGCCTTGCGAAGTAAATAAATGCTCTAAAGTGAATAAACGGTAAAATATTTTATTGTAATTTCTTCCGGTTCTAATGAAGACATAATAGTGTAGCGCACTTGCTCGAAAAATACAAATTCAAGAAAGTAAAGACATTGTTATGGTAAACCCTAATAAAGAGACTGATAACGAAAAACACTGCTAATTTAAGCCACGCATTGGCAGATGACAAAAAGATAAGAAATGGCGTTGAAGAGCTAAATATTGATTTTAGTGAAATAGATCAGAAACTCAAGAAAAATAAAAAAATGTGTACTTAAAATGCACAATTATTTGTAAAGTTAAAAAAACGTCGGGCAAATGAATAAAAATTTGCCGCATGAAATGGAAAGCATTTTATTAAAATATGGAGAGGCACAATGTAAAATGACTGAGTTTTTACATAAAAGAAACACAGATAATTAAAAATTCAAATTTTTCAGATGACTGAAGAAACATGTCGCTATTTCAACACCCTGTAGAATATGTCTATTACATGTTTTTGTTTATTTTCTAACATCATTTTTTTCCCCCGAATGGTTTCTTAAAAAAAATGTTCAAATCGGATTACCGATTCAGAAAAATTATGTCATGTTGAATAATTGCATGTTTGCAGGACGATTAATAATTGCATTGGCAGGACGATTAATAAAAAATGTAACTAAACATTTGATTGATCAATACAAAATGCCTTTAAGACAAAAAATCTTCTGACTTAAAAAATGTGTAGGTACTGTGCAAAAATGCATCAAGAATTAGGACTAATTCAGATTAACAAAAGACAAACCGAATTTTTTGTATAAAAGACATACTTAGATCTAGATTTTCGTTTTTGTAGATGTGCAGAGAATCACTACGACTTTTCCAAGTCGGGATGTGCATCTTGTGATTGTTTTGCGCCCGGTTCCGCTTTTAATATTCCGAGATGCGATCCTGAAACTGGCGTTTGCGCTTGTAAAGAAAACGTTGAAGGAAAACGGTGCAGAGAATGTAAACCCGGATTCTTCAATTTGGATTTGGATAACGAATTCGGCTGCACACCGTGTTTCTGCTATGGACATTCTTCCGAATGCAAACCAGCAATAGGTGCTTATCCTCATGTGTTCGTTTGTACCAGACTATTGAACAGTTACAATTTGCAGGCTATTTCAAATACTTGGTTGAGTCAACTTTCGCAAAAGGATCCGACAAATGGACAGCTGAAGATGAACGCGGCAAATCACACCAACTAAAGTTCGAACGAATTAGTCAAAGCATCGGAGTGCAGTCAGATGGACATGAGTCGATTTACTTTATTGCTCCTGATCGGTAATAAATTATATTCTTCAACGACTTTCTTTGAAACGTATACTTTCAGGTTCCTTGGAGATCAGCGAGCCTCATACAACCAGCTGCTGGACTTTTCTTTAAGAGTAGGCGACAGCCGACCAGTGCCTACAGCAACTGACGTTATTTTGGAAAGTGGGAACCTTTCAGTTACAAATACCATCTTCGCTCAAAAAAATGAGCTTCCCAGTGTTGAGGTAAAGCAAACATATTCACAACCAATCGAAATATTCAAGCACATGTTGATTTTAGACGAAAAACTACAGATTTCGACTGCACGAACACCCAGATTATGGATGGCAACCGCGACTGACCTCAAGATCCTTTATTTCACTGCTGACAAATTTAACAGCTATAAAAATCAAAGGGACTTTCACCCCTAAAGGAGTGGGCTTTTTAGATGATATCAAACTGGAAACAGCTTCTCGGGGTGTTGCGGGAAAGTCCGCTCTGTGGATTGAACTTTGCGAATGTCCAACAGGTAACAACAAATTGTTTGGTCAGCTGCAGGTTAGTCGGTCGAAGAATTTGCAATATAAAATAACATTTTGGCAATGCATATTTGAATCCCGACTATAAACGAAACAGATAGCTCCAAAAAAGATTTATTGTCCCAATAGGAATTATACTTATTGTTGATAAGTTCTATATTGTTGAGGCGGATTCATTTTTTACAAACTTCTTTTTGGGTATTTCGCCTCAAAAATTTTTGTCTTTAAAAAAGACAGAATT